GATTTGCTAAGGTGCTACCACACTGTCTGCTGCTCTCTGTCAGCACTGTTTCCCAGTTGGCATCGGTGCTTTGCTCACAGCTCCACTCATCTCTAACAACACGCCTCAGCAGAGGTGTCAAGACCCAGAATAACAACAAGGCCTGTAATTGTTTATGTGTGGCTGTGTTTGAAACACACATACATGAAAGAGCCTACAGTTTGTCTGCCTCTCTGCAGCACATGTACGCGTGTGTGTACGTGTGTGTGTACGTGTCTACTGCATGTACGCATTTTTTTTTTTTTCTTCTTCGAGCAGCTTTGTTCATTTGCTCTGTGGGGACGGGTGGATTCTGCTGACTGTGTTTGGTCCGAAGCCCGAGGCTGTGGCTGATCAATAGTATCCTGGACCCACCAGGTTTATGTGCAGCTCAGTGTGAGGGCGGGGAGCCACAGATTTACAGCCAAAAGACCATACGTCAATGTTCACATCTGTTTATGGATCATTTGGAGAAACTCTTAATGAATCAGAATATTCTCCTGAGGAAAAGAAAAAAAATTGGAAAAAAAAAATCTGGGATGTACGAAAATATCTATACACAGAAACATAACGTATCAATATATCGTCATGCCTACAGTATCGCAATATATTGCAACACATACCCCTAGAAAAAAAAACCGTGTTATACCAGCGGTTCTCAAACTGTGGTAGGCGTACCACTGGGGGTACGCAGGGAAAATTCATATTTTCACATTTACATTTTCTGAAACATACCATGTACAAATAATACAACATTTAAACATAAACATCTTTATAAACATTTATTAACATTTATAAACATTTATTAACATTTATTAACGTCTCTCCTGTGGTAGAAGCTAACAGAGACGGTCTACGCTGCTACAGTCTAATGCTGGTCATCATGGTGGGACTCAGAGAGCTCCATGTTTTCTCAGGTGGTACAGAGGATAAAACGTTTGAGAACCACTGTGTCGTACTATACGCTGATGATACCTCTGGACTCAGACTCTTGTTCTTTGTATTTGGCAGAGAGAGGAACTTTTCTTTGCACCAATATCTGGCATCTTTGTTGCAAATCAATCTGTTGATTAGTCCTCTCCGCTGGGGTGAGGGGTGAGGGTTGGGGTGGAGGCTCGGGGGGTGAGGGGGTGTTTACGTGTTGTTAACGTGCTCTTGTCTGCTCTCTCTTCAGGTCTGGACGATTGTCTCCAGCAGTACGTGAAGAGTTTCGAGCGGGAGCAGATGGGGGGTGAGCAGCTGCTCCACATCACCCACCAGGAGCTGGAGGAGCTGGGCGTCACCAGAATAGGACATCAGGAGCTCATCTTGGAAGCAGTCGACCTCCTCTGTGCCCTGGTGCGTCAGCCGCTCGTGATCAGAGTCCCTCCCCTTTTTTTTTAAATTCAAATGAATGAGGTGTGAATCGTAACAACGCTGTCGTCGTGGAAACAGGACGAAATATCAGAATGGGCCGAAAATGAAAAGTAAAACATCTGTAGAAAATTGATAGCATTATTAGCATCGGAAATAGTGGTTCTAGTAAAGTGCAGGATTGTGTGTGTGTGTGTTTGTGTGTGTGTCTGCTTGGTTGACCAGCCTGCGGTCAAATCTGCCCACTGTTAAGTCACTGGAGCGCAACAGAGAAAAAAAAGCAAAAATTATTATTTTTTTGTTAATCGAGGGGCGTGACTTTTACCAAGTCACCCTTTAAGACACGTCGGCCGTTAATCCATAATGATTCTATCAACATTTGACTGAAAGTCTTTACCTGAGTCTTAGTTTGTCTTTCGTATTTAAATTACTACTATTTTAATTATTATTTAGTTAAAGATCAGATTCAAAGATTTCAAACCATTTGTAACATTTTCGGGGGACAGTTCACGGTGCTGCGGCTCCTGCACCGCTGCTTGTATGTACAGTAGCCCTGCGTGGGATTATGGAATTATGGAGAATTAGGTGCTACTCTCCCAGAGGAGAGGGATGAACGAAGAGAGAGAGGGAGAGAGAGAGAGAGAGGGGACATGGGAAATAGAAAGAAGGAGAGAGAGAATTTAGATAGAGGACGAACCTTATCTCCCAGGCACACACTGCTGGATTAGGTAAGGTCTGTGTGTGTGTGTGTGATTCTGGTGTAGCTATACTCGCAGGGACATTGTTTGGATAGGTCCCACTGTCGTGCGGAGACTTGAGTGTCTTCATGGGGACATCGTTCAGATCCCAGGTTCAAGATTTAGTTCGGAGTCAGGATTTGAATTCAGGTCAGATTAGAGTCAGGGAACGGAATAGAATTATGCACATATTCGTAATAGTAATGGTTAGAATAAGGGGCGAGAGAGAAGAATGCATCGTCTAGGTAGAGAGCTCACAGAATGCAATGCTTTTGTGTGTGTGTGTGTGTGTGTGTGTGTGCAGGCACTAATGAGCATCTCCATTTTCCAGCAGGAGAAAATAACTTTCCCAAAACACTATTCAGAAAACAGGACACATGAATGCTAAAGCTATCATTATAGCTCACTCTTACAGGCCAGCGAACACACACACATGTTCCCAGACACACACACTCAGCGACACTCTGACATCTGGAGGTCAAACCAAGTTGTTTAAAAAACAGTTCCATAATTGACCTGAATTCTGTGGTTGTTTCACTGTAAATGTAGGAGAAAAAAAAGTGGATTCTCTCTGGTGTTTATCACTGAAATTCAAATTGGTCAACGTCGCGTTCCATCGCTGTGAGATTATCGTGTTCTTTTTTACCGTGAACAATTTTATTATGAATAATGTGTAATAAAAAAACAAGAACAGAATAATGCCGTCCCTTAAAAAAAAACAGCTGAACTGGACTCTAAACCTGCAGACTCAGAATAATCTGATGATGGAGACTTAGATTTATTGTGGTCAGCAGTTTAACCCCTCGTTAGAAAAACACACCTCCGTTCGCCCTCTGTCCCGTCGATGTAACGTTGCGGTTGGAATCCGTGACCAGGACTCAGTGTCGCTGTTAATATTCAACTTCTTCTTCTTTGATTTTTTACGCTCATTTAATCAGAAGGTTTTATTTTCTTCAGTCGTTACAGCTGAAATATGACACGTAAATAAAGTAATGCTAACGCTAAGACATACGTATGAACTTAAAGACAAGAGAACCCAAGTGACGGCCCGAGGGCCACATTCGGCCCGAGACCCAAACTAGTCTGTTGTCGTCTGAGAAACGCACGTCTCATTTTGTGATACCGTGTATTTTACAATGTAAAGAAAGTATTTTCTTACGACTGTGATTCTGTAACAAATAGTAACAAAAGTTCAAACACTGAGGAAAGGCCACTTCACACGGCTGCCATGGCAACCGCATCGACACGAAGACGGGGCGGGGGTTGATGCGTGTTTGCTCTAATGGCATTGCCCTCTTACTGTATTGATTGGGCACACACAGGCGCACGTATGCACGCACCGTCAAATCGTTTTCACACACACACACACACACACACACGCATATAGGACAAGGCTGGTTACAGCTGCACAAACATGTTCTCTCCAAGTTCATGTGTACATCTGTGTTCACACAGAAGAGTCGAGATCATACAGAACGCTGCGTGTTCGTGACCCACTTTCACTCTCCGGTGATTCCTCCTTCTCTCTCTCTCTCTCTCTCTCTCTCTCTTTTTCCTGTCTTTCTTCTTCACTTTCTTAACTCTCTCATTTCCCTCTCGCTCTCTGTGTCGCTCTGCTCTGCTGCCACCCTGAAACACTCTCTCCTTTGTAGTCGATGTGGTCGTGACTGTAGCAGAGATCCAGAGGCAGGGGAATAGATATGTCTCGCTCAGCCTGCACATCTGACTGTGCACGGATATGAGTGTGTCTTTATCTCTCTCCCTCGCACGCAAATATAAGTGTGTGTCAGACACCAGATGTTTGACAAAATAGGAGTTTGAAATACATTTCTACTTTGATTCTCTTCCGGTGGACCAGTTGTCCATTTTGTAAACATTTGGTTTTTGCAAAAAATGCTGATCCTGTCTTTAAGAAATAAGAAAAAAATTAAAGGGAAAGGGATTGAATTTCCCTCAAAAACAGAAATGAACTTTCCGTCGTTTCTTCCCTAGAACTACGGCCTAGAGACAGAAAACCTCCGGACTTTGTCTCACAAGCTAAACGCTTCGGCAAAGAACCTTCAGAACTTCATCTTGGGACGACGGAGGGGCGGGCACTACGATGGACGGGCGTCACGGAGGCTCCCCAACGACTTCCTGACCTCGGTGGTGGATCTGATTGGTGCAGCCAAGAACCTCCTAGCTTGGCTTGACAGGTCGGAGCACGGCGTGGGCTTTGGACCCGCAACTGCTGGCCAATCACTGTCAAATAAATGACTCACATAAGTTGGGAGAAATCAGACTTTGACAAATCTGCTGCTAACTTTAGTTAACGCCGCCCTGCAGTACCACACTGACCCTGTAGGGGGGTTGCAGAACCCTGCTTTTGTTGTTGTTTCTGTGGCTATTTAAAACAAAAAAAAATCACAAACAAAGTCTGATTTTTCAAGTTAAAAAAAGTGATTCTTTATCTTTTTAACTTTTTTAACAAACTCTGAGCCACTCGTCCGACGCGTCCTTCGATCAGTAACTCTTTCTTTGTCTGTCGCAGGTCACCGTTCGCCAGCGTGACAGAATATTCACTACTAAAAAACAACATCGTGCAGCTCTGCCTGGAATTGACCACCATTGTTCAACAGGTGAGTAAAGAACACGTCAGGCAGTGACAAAGGTCAGGGGTCGTCAAAGGACAAAGATTTGAACGTAGTTTTGTCCAGAAACATCATCAAACATATGGCTTCTGTTTATTTTTATATTTTTCTGTGAGGCTCACTTTTATAGATTAGACCAGGACTGGAACATATGCTCAGCGCCACAGGCTGGCTGCAGCGCGACACTGCAGCTGAGTGACTTTACAGCTTCAGGGATCGTTCTCATTGACTCTGACTCGGTGTTAAATGAACAACCTGTCTTTCAACATTCATTTTTTGTTGTTTTTTTTTTTCCACTTCACATTAATAATTACTAAGGGTTGTTTGAAAATCTTTTCTTTTTTTACCGACGATACAAGAAAGAGTATTTTTATTTTTGTACCTGCTGATTCACTGAGTCACGAGCGCTTATTTACATGTCACTGTCACCACATTAGAAAATATATCAGTAGAACTAGAGAAGAGATTGAAAAATTTAATATAAAATTATTATAAAATATAGATAAATGGAGTTAAAACGTATTTAACTCATGAACAGAAAGTGAGCAGAGCTTTGACACCAACAGCATTTGGAATAACATAAAAAATTAAATGAACTGCTTTCGTTTCGTTCGTTGTTCATTTGTTATCGGCTGTTGTTAAACATCAGTCTGTCGTCACGTTCTAGTAGTTTCTAAATCCTGAGGAGTTTCAGCTTCACTGAAGGGATATGATATAAAATAACAGACTAAATGTGGGAGGTTGAAAAATAAAAATGCTGATTGTGATTTTACTTCAGTGGAACAAAAGTCACTCCTCTCATATTCCCGCCTCTGTCATCTGGTACGTTGAAGAGGAAGATATTTGAGCTTTGGTTCGGATGTTCACATCAATGCCTCCTTTCCTCTCATTTCTTCACTTTCTTCTCCTTCTTTTTTTTTTTTTCTTTTTGCAGGACTGCACTGTGTACGAGACAGAGAATAAGATTCTCCATGTGGTAAGTTTCCTTTTAAATGTCTCGACTTTGACCCAGTGGCCGTAAAGATGAAGAGCTAAGCTAAGCTAAGCTAATAGCTCCTGATTAATGTGAGTCAGGAAGAAAACAAAGATCCAACCTGTGGTCCAGTTTTTAATCATCACTGTTTCACTGGTGAAATTTCAAGTCATATGGGGACATCAGATTTTCTGATTCGATAATGTACTGATTACTTTATTAATCAGTATAGATTAGGAGTGTAAAAATATATCTAAACATTTGAAATATCTCAATATTTCATTTCGATATTCACCATCAGTGGCATCGATTTTTTTTTATCAACAATTTCCAGTCAAATATTCATGTCGTCGGTTCATTTTAATTTTCTTTTCTTTCTTCTCTACTGAATATAAATGAAGTTCCCTCTCTTCCAAAAACCCTCAATATATCACAGTATATTGCAATATATTCTATCGTCGCCCCCTGTACCGTGATGTGTATCATACCGTCAGATTACTGCCAGTACACACCTGTAGTATCGGTACTCAGTATCGATTCATCAACACCAGTACTTCCATCACTAGTTCGTATGTTTCATCAACACCACAGAATCAGTACTTCCATCACTAGTTCGTATGTTACGTGACAGGCAGTGAGGTCGTCTGGGGTCAGATTAGTAGTTTGACCTCTGCCAGTGAACAGAACTCCACACGTCACCGTCTCCAAGGCAGAATCTGGATCTGAATCCTTAAAAAAAAAATACACCACCTTCATGTCTTTGTGGGGGCTTCAACTGTAGGTCAGCTGATGTCAGACCAGCTTCACCGCGCTGCCGTAGGTCAACAAGGTCAGCGTCTCCTCCAGTGAACATGTGGCAGGTG